AAACCATTTCAGGTGACTACCTCTTGAAGCTCATGGAGAGAATGCCAAGAGTGTGCAAAGCAGTAATCAGAGCAAAGGGTGGCTATTTTGAAGAAACTAGAATATAAAACATGTTTTCAGTTATTTCACCTTTTTTTGTTAAGTACATAACTCCACATGTGTTCATTCATAGTTTTGATGCCTTCAGTGAGAATCTACAATGTAAATAGTCATGAAAATAAAGAAAACGCATTGAATGAGAAGGTGTGTCCAAACTTTTGGCCTGTACTGTATATATAGTTATTCATTCATTATATACATTATGTAAATTGAGATCTTCATTAAGTAATTTTCAGTTACCACTTATCCTTCCTGCTACCCTAGAGTCTATCCCAGCTGACATTGGGTGAGAGGCAGGGCGCACCCTGGACACACACACACACACCCAGAGCTCATGACCATAGGTGGGGGTTGGGATGTAGATGGACCATTAAATCAAAAGCTTCACCTTCCAGCTCAGCTCCCTCTTCACCGCGACGGTCCAGCACAGCAGCAAATCACTGCAGCAGCTGCATCAAACCGCTGATCCATTCCACCCTGGATGGGCAAACTCCCACGACCCTTCCAGCAGCCTCGCAAGGATAAAGAGCTGGTCCACTGTTCTACAACCAGGACAGAATCTGTATCGCTCCTTCTGAATCCGAGGTTGGACAGTCGGTTGGAGCCTCAGTTCCAGCACCCTGGAGTAAACTTTACCCGGGAGGCTGAGCAGTGATACCCTGATGGTTGGAACACACCTGATCAGTGTGATACCTGATGGTTGGAACACACCCTCTGGTCCCCTTTTCTGAAAATGAGAGCCTACACCCCGTTCTGCCAACCTGCAGGCATTGTACCCAACCTCCACACGACACTGAAAAGTCTTGTCAGCCAAGACAGTCCAACAGTGTCCAGAGTGTAACCAAGAGTTAAAAATAGATAAATAACTAAATAAATAAATAAATATGTGAATACATAGCCAGATCATTACACAATCTCATTAGCAATAAACAAATTAATGAATAAATATATAAATAAAAATGTTAATATGTGTTTAAAAAACTTTAATAGAAGAACAAGGAAATGTTTATGTGATAAGCAGGATAAAAAGCCAATAAATTCAAGTTCACTCTCACTGTAGTCAATCAGAGGCTTAAGACCACCTCCTTACAGTCTACTGACAACTCACGTTAGTAAAGAGGAGAGAGCATAACATCAGTCTGAGCTGAGCCTTCACGAGAGCATTATGTTGATGATGACAGTGAGTGGATACAAACAGAGCGAGAAAGCAGAGAGTTCCGGTGTGTACAACGAGGCCTGACGCCACAAGTTCCGTGCACATTCCAATTCATCGCGCTGGTGAGTTGCGCAGACTCCGAGCATATTAGCTTCATGTCCGTTAGCCTTTATGCTAACCGTTGTATGTTTTCCATTGCTTAATGCTAAGTTGTTAGCAACCAAAAGTTCGCTAGCTTAAATGCTAATTAACATCCAGTAACATCTACACTGACAGTGCTACAAGTGTGTTAGTGGTTTGAAAACTTGATTTGACTTAGCTGAGAGGAGGAATATTGCTGATGTGATGACATATTCTGCCTTGCTGGTGTGTAAGACCGTATCATTATGTGTTACTGAATGTATTGTGTGTTGTTTGTGTGAATTACTGCAGCTTAGCGACTGACAATATGTAACTGCTAGCTGAATTACATTAGCAGCAATAGTGTTTACATGCTTTGAAGAGATTCAGGAATATATTAAAGGTGAAGTAGCCTACTGACAAACATTCAGTATATGATTTATGTTTACAGTTTTGCACCTTTGTTATAATTGAGTTTCTATCCAAAGTATTCGCTCTCTGAGACAATTATTTTGATGCTTATGGATAAAAATGATTTTGAACTGGACGTAAATTTAATGTTGTACAACAGAGATTGTGATTTGGAGATAAAGCTGAGTTCATACACTTTTCCTGTGATCAGTAGTGTTCATAGAGTTAGCATGAGTGTAATTTTCTTTGACCTTACTCATAGGTCATGTTTTTGAGAGAGCTCAGATTGTGCTGTCTAAGACTCCAGAGAAGATTGTGGCAATCCATAAGATTCGGAGAAGTTTTCCAGTACTGGATGGCGAGCCCAGCCCAATCACTCAGGAGATCGTGAGCACCTTGATCCTTTGACTTGAACGAACTTTGACTTTACCCAACAGTGACTTTAACAAGAATATTTAACCTTTACCCGGGTCTTTATTATTTTAGTTTTTTGTTTTACTGTGCGCACAGGGTTGTGTATTCCTTTTCAGTGTTTTGGTAATTTTGGTAAATTGTAAACCTAACTTTAGGTAATATACATTCAAAACTTAACATTTGTGTCCTGCCTCTATTTCATTATAGTAATCCAACTCTGGCTCCTGTCGTTCCTAGGGTTTCTGAAACTGGTCTAAATTCCCCTTGATGCTTTTAGAAGTACTTACCTTCATATCTGGTTAATCAGTGTCATGCAATGGTTACAAGAGCCTTTAGCATCTAAGGGCAAATCTCATCCACACCTAGCACCTTGACACTGGGGAGCTTTTTGACTACCTCAGCAACCTCTGCCAGGGATATGGGCTAGAGTACCCCCAGTCTTCAGGCTCTGTCTCCTGAACAGTAGATGTGACCGCCGGAGTTAGGAGTTCCTTAAAGAGGACATGAAACACTAAACATAGTTATCATAATTTAAAGAGGGTCTCTCACCCTAAAAAGATAATTTTAGTTTAAACACTGAAAATGAAAGGAATCTCAAAATCCTGTCATTTAAGTTCAGCTGTTTAAACAAAGGGCGGCGCCATGTCTGTTGTGTCGCCGGACATGACGTCACCGGAGTGGTTGTCAAGCTAGCGATCGCAGTGAAGTGAAGACAGTGGAGCATTTCTGAACCGGGTTGAGCACCACACTTTTTGACAATGGAGGAAGACGAACTGGATAGGCCTGTTGAGTCTGTGACAAGCCCCATTGCCTACACATATGAGCCTATAAGGCGTGGGAATCGAGCAGTGGTACGGGAGGAAGAAGTGGTTGAGCCGGTGATTTGGGGTCAAGGGCGTGTCGGCAACATTACGTGGTGTCAGTGTGGCGATGCCCACTGTGCCAGAGTCCATTTGCTGCCAGGAGGCTGGTCTGGACCATCTTTTCCATGACCACCCCTGCATCACCATGGTGCGCTCATTCAGCATCCTGTGCCGGGAGGTGGACGTGTTGGAGGTAGCGATGCTTTCACTGAGGGATGTCAGAGCTGAGACGCTGCAGCGTCCCATCAACAGCAGGTAAGTCAAGCTAGCTGTAACCGCGGGCGAATGACTCAGTAACCGTATGCAGTAAAGAAAACAAATGCATGCACTATGGTGTTGGCCAGGAATATGAGCAATGTTTCCACGTGCTGTTTGTTTACATACAGTTGTTGTCTGACTGAAACGTCTTTGTTTATGTCGTTTCTCCGGTACTAATTGCTAGCTAACCCTTAGCGTTAGCTAGTTGACGCTAACAGCTAATAGCTATCAATGCTGGTACCTAACGTTAGTTCGCCGGTTTACATAGCTGACTATGTTACATATTGCTACTGGTGAACGAGCCAGTTAGATGCGGAACATGTCTGAGAGGCCTGACGTAACAATATAATGCCACATGAATGCTTTCTGTACATAGTTTGTTTACATCGTGTTGTGCAGCACGTTATGAAACCAACGTTTGGGAAACCACTGTCAAAACACCGTGACGCAGACAGTTTGATGTCAGACATTCAAACGGGTTCATCCTCAATAACTTTTGAGTGAGATGAGCAATACGCAGTTGACGTATATTCTGGAATCTGAAAGGAATGATTCAATATTTTGTACTTTGTAGGTGATATAGAATAATTCATAGAAGTGGATATGAAGCAAGGCTCAAGTTAACATAAATTACCAAATGGATTTCCACTCTCACACTCTAACAAGTGGACACATATAAAAGAAAAAAGACGCCCTGTTATATCTTTCCTGACAACAAACAACTTGTTTATGATCTTAAAAAATTGAGACAAATCTAACCAATACATTTCTTTTCCATCAGTCTCTTTAGATTGACTGCCTACAGACAGTTTACCCTCTGGGCCAGGGGCCATTTGGGAAGGAAGAACCGGGTCCCGATTCCAGCCTGTGTGGCCTGGCCTTCCACAGATGTACAGTATGAGTGGTCATTGTTTATGACCTGGTTGGTAAGTATGTCATCTGTCAAAGTGCCTGTGCAAATGTACTGCTTATTGTCTCCCTCTTCTGTATCCTGTTGAAATGGATCGGTCTGGGTGCCGACACTGACTGTTAGGGTGTGCACACTGCCTGTCACCTGCTCTATCTCCTCACTGATGTCAGCCTCTGCGAATTTGCTGCTGGCCACCAGTTGCATGCATGCCTGCCTAACCTGTTAACACAAATGTACACTTTTTAGGTACCCAAATGATGTTATCAGCCTTAACATGAAAGACTTTGTACTTACATCCTGACTACTGATTTATTAAAGAATCATATACCTAAACACTTTTTGTTGTGTTGTTATTCTTTCAATAACCATGCATAGAAAACTATCCAATGTATCCTCTGTTTTGTTTCAGTGATGGTTGGGTGTAATTGGTTTTGGTTCAATGTCCATACCAGTTCTGGCTGTAGTGCTTGTTGAATCAATAAAATTATTTGGTGTTTTATTATCATCAGATTAATGTGTGTAAACACTAGGGATGTTTGCTTTGCTTCTGAGGGACGTTAAACAAAATTAACAAAATTATAATGTTAATATCACATTTCTTGTAGGAGCCTGGGTACAGAATGTAGCAGCCAGAATCATACGTCATAATGTCACCAGTTTTTTTCCTCACTGACTTCTTTTCTTTTCTACAGTTCTACTAGTTATTATTCTTTTGTGACTATCAAAAGTATCAATGTACAGTTATTTCTAATGTCCATGGACAATCATGCACCTCACTACATTGCAAGTCCTCATGATTTGCAATAATGTACAATGTGTTTTTACTAGGTGCTGTAGTAGGTAAGAGTTACAGTACTAGTACTAGTCTTTAGAGACTAGTATCTGTCATGAAGTGTCTGTTGTGTGCATAAATATCTACAATGTATGTTCAGTAAAAGGTAAAAGCTAGACTAGAATGAAATGCTGAATAACTGCCAAATGCATCAATATATTATTAGGCCTGCCACCGTGACTATTCTTGTTGACTATTTAGTGTTATGGTGTTATGGTAATGTTGGTCATAACTATACATTAGCAGTAGCGAGCGGATAGCGCTAACATCGGTCAATCAAAAATGCTAATTTTGTTGTGAGCCAATCCCGGCCCGGTGGTAAACACAACATCAAGTGAGGCCTCAAGCGGGTTGCTGGATGGACGGTCAACACTTTCGGTTGAAAAAGTAAATTACTGTGCCTTACGTTGTGTCGTGATGGCTCTGACATATATATGTACATGTATATTTATTTTTTAATTTGCCACTAGACGTGTGTGACGGCTTTTCGGCAGCCGAGCCATGTGAAGGAAAAGCTAGCTAGAAAAAACTTTAGCGCATGCATGGCAAGAGGAATAAACAGGATGACGGTGAGGAAGATAACGGGATTGGAGTTGATGTATGGGGATTTTATTAAGTTTGGATTCCTGACTGACTGCTTTGGAAAACGTGGAGTCACGGTAAGTAGTGTTTCTTTAGCGGTTTGCATCAGCTGTGATGACCGATGACTGTATGGAGTGGGATAACATGAGTTTTAGGTGAAAACTCTCAGGCCCGGATGTTTATATGGGTTGTGGTTCATTTTTAGTTTCGGACAGTAATTTTGGCACATGCACCATGCAGTGTTGCCGTCCCTCTCCTGGCTGCCATCCTTGTCCGGAGCAGCTGCCGCCTCCTCCGCAAAATTGTGACTTTCCACCCTCCTCCTCGTCACTGGCTCAAAAGCATAGGCCACTGGGTTTGATGATAGATCAATATATCTTTCGGCTTCATCCTCTGACATCTTTTCACTTGGTAAATTTCCTAAACTACTGCTTCTTCGTCTTCCTCCGTCTACAGACACAGTGTCGTGAAACCAACCAACCATTTCGATGACGTAGGCAGTGACGTAAAATAAAGATGGCGCTGAGCACGGCCCAAAATATATCGTAAATGCATTTAAAAAGTGGATTTTCTCTAAAGTAGGCTGACTTTTCCGACTTTTTATTTCGTCAGTATGTCTGAATAATGCACACATCTCCTATGCTGGTGTCTGTTCCGTTGTTTCATGTCCTCTTTAAAGTGCTCCTTCCACTGCCCAGCGATAGCCCCAGTTCGGGTCAGCAGTAATCCTTCTCAGCTGAGCACAGCCTGAGACAAACCCAAGAGGTTTATAAGGTGATAATTATGTATGGAACACTTCTTTCACTGCCCCTAAGAGGCCCTAAAAACAAAATAAAACAAAACTAGAAAAGTGCACTCAGATGCAGATCAAGGCTGATCATTGCCACTCTAGACGATTGATGATTCCAGCAGATGTGGTGGAGCACGTTCCAGAAGAGTCTAAAAAGCTAATATAAATATGTAACTAATTTATTTTTGATGAAACTGTGGTGTGTTGCCCAGAGCAGACTAAGTTCACTGTATGTAAAATATAGATACAATGTAATTATGAGGATGAATGCATTTTTAAAACACAGCCACAAATCTTTGTTCCATGTCATTCATGACTGAACTTTTAACAGCATTAAATTTGTCTGGAGCCTACGGTACAACTAAGTCGGGAAAAACAACAATAAACAGATCTAAAATAAACAAAAACAAAACTGTTTAACTACATAGCCTATTCACTTACTTTGGGTCAAAGCACCATGTGGTGGATAGAACAAAACCAGATCGTAGCTGTGGTGACCGGAGCACAGTGCAGTAGCGCTCAGTGGACCTGGTCCCTCCCTGCTCCCTTACAATTAATTCTTTATTTCAGGCCCAGGGGTATCCATATCACAATTAAAAAAAAAAAACACAGTAAAAAAAAACAGCGCAGTAAAATAAGAAAAAAAATAACACACAAGATACACAAAATACAAAGCCTTCCACAATGTTCAATGTCTAACATACAGACATGTTCACCAGTGGTTCCACAGTCTGGAAGAAAATCTGACAGAAATGCGTACAGGGTTAGCCAAAACAGCAATTAAGTCGTTTTCTGACTCAGATGCCCTACACATAAATCCATACATCAGGTTACGTACAACAGCAGAGCAGGTAGGTACCCCAACACTAACAAACATATGGCTTGCACTTGAGCTTCTTGAAGCTCTCAGCAGCAGCCTCGTGCTGTCATTATAAGCCACTGTGAGTTTTCTAATGCTGCCTTGTTTATAACGACACCACAGGTAGGCAGTACACAAAGGTGTACAATACGCTCTAAAGAGTGAGATCGTCACAGATACAGAGCACATGCTGAACTTACGACACAGCATATTCGCTTGGGCGTACAGCTTCCGACACTGCCTAAAGATATCCTTGTCATCAGACAGGTCATTTGCGGTAATATGGCCCATATATGTAATCTCACTGCAAACACTGAGTGCAGTGCCAGACAGTAAAGATGGTGTCAAGAATGACAAAAAAAAGA